ATCAACAGAACACAAGCTAAAATCAACAGAACACAAGCTAAAATCAATAGAACACAAGCTAAAATCAACAGAAGATGAGCTAAAATGAGCAGGACACAAATGCACAGAACACAAGCTAAAATGATTAGGACACAAGCTAAAATGCACAGAGCACGAGCTAAAAGGACCGGAACACAAGCTTAACGCAGTGCAACACTAGCTAAAACAAAAGTAGCTAAACAGTTGACAAAGCAAGCAAATCGAAGTTTACACCAAAATGAGCAGAACAGTAACTACGATCAGCAACACTGCATTTCCAACAAAACTTCAACTAAAAGCTAAAGTTACCAGAACCATAGCTAAAACTAAAAGATGTATAAGAAGACAAAAACAGAGCAAGTAGCTGAAGCTGATAAAAACAACAACAATTTGTTTCAAAGAAAGACAAACATTTTGAAAAGTACAAAAGTCACAGCTGCTGAATGAGCCGAAGGTTTTGATAAACAGCTAAAATAGAAGAAAGTCTGCAGAAGTAGTTAGACTGTAGAAAGTGGACACAGAACCAGGGAACCAGCAGAGTGGACTCTGATTGTTCTGCCCTGCAGAAGGTTCTGGTCTTCAGGATCGATTCTGCAAACGGAGCGGGGGGTGGGGGGGGGGGGGGTCAATGTGTTTGCTTAAGAGGACCAGCGGCGTCGATCACATTCTCTCAGGGTTATCTCACCTGAACAAAGCAGTGGATTATCGGGTACTCTCCTCCAAACCCGGGTTGCCATGACAACCGGAGCGCGGTCTGATTGATCTCCACGACTCGCAGGTTCTGAGGCGGGGAGGGGAGGACTAAAGACACAAACATTTAAAAAAGTAAACAAAGATGTGAAACGAGCCGGGAACTCTACAGAAAGGTTGAGCAAAGTGTTCGACCCACCAGTGACGGTACCAGAACCGGAGGTGGCCACACCTTTATGGTTATGAGCTTCACAGGAGAAGGTGCTGCTCCGGTTCAGACCTGGACACAAACAATCAAACTCAATCTGTGTTTCTTGTTATGGCAGCCATTTAGTTTTATTTTTATTAAGATGTTCTCCGTCTCTGGGGTGGGGGGGGTCATCAGTGAGTGTTTGTAGTTTTAGAGATGAGTGTTTTTCTGGACTGGAACTGAACAGAGAATGAAGTAAACCTAAATGTTTCTGGTTCAAGATGTTCAAGTGGAGGAGACTGTGGAGAAGAACAAAGGAAGTTTATTTGTATTGATTTATTTTTATTGTCAGAGGCGGCGCAGAGTGACGGACCCTGGCGAGTTGAGGGAGAAACTTTATTCACCACCAGGTGCAGTGGAGGAGCCAGGGGGTGGCCAATGGTGGCCTTGACTACAGATTAATCTTCAGCCACCCCAATCATGCAATATAAAACTTAGAAAGCATAGTTTAGCAACATGGTGGTGGCCATCTTGGATTTTGACATGGCAACCTAATGTTCAGCAGTGGCCTCTCAGATGTAGATGAAGCCACACAGAGCAAGATGGCGGTCAGGTATTGGTCCCCTTACCATTGTACGGTAAGTCCCCTCTTGGCTTCATGACGGGGGACAATACAAGTCAAGGTGACACGGAGGAGAACCCGACACGGGTTGAGGCATGCACAATGCCACACAGATGAGAGCTGAGGGCTTATATGGACAAAGACTGATGGGTGAAGTGGAAACACCTGGGGCAGGTGAGAGTGGGCGGGGCAAAAACAGACTGAGGGGAAATGAACTGGTGAAACAAACTGACACACAAACACACGTATAAAAAACCCTACATGTTACAAGAAATTAAGAAAATGGCCAAATGGACTGTACTTATCTAGCACCTTTCTACCTAATCAAGATACAATATAACTTTATTTATAAAGCACTTTAAAAACAACACCATTGGCCAAAGTGCTGTACACTAACACAACACAAGCACAAAAACATACAATCAAGATACCGTAAAAGTAATGAACTACCAAAACCATAAAACAGCCAACAGTAAAAACAATAAAACAAATAAATTAAAAGCAGTAAAACCAACATTTCAAGCTGAGTTAAAAGCCAAAGAGAAAAAAAGTGTCTTCAGGAAAGATTAAAAACAGGAAGTGATGTCAGAGGCGGCTCGTTCCACAGTTTAGGGGCAGAGACTGAGAACGCTCGGTCACCTCTCAGCCTCCTGTGGGACTTTGGAACGACCAACAGCAGCTGATCAGCTGACCTGAGAGCGCGTGAGGGAACGTACAGGTGCGGGTTATAAAATGAGAATATCATGAAAAAGTTGATTTATTTCAGTAATTCCATTCAAAAAGTGAAACTTGTATATTATGTTCATTCATTACACACAGACTGTTATATTTCAAAAGTTTATTTCTTTTAATGTTGATGATTATAACTGACAACTAATGAAAACCCCATTCAATATTGAAGACACCTGGTACCACACTCTAATCAGCTGATTAACTCAAAACACCTGTAAAGGCCTTTAAATGGTCTCAGTCTAGTTCTGTAGCTACACA